TTTGTCCATCCCTTTCCCTGTGTGGGTACTGCCAAGACCGAAATGATGGTGCACGGGCCAGTTTACTGTTGGTTAGGCTTGAAATAAATCGCACAGAACTTGCTGTAAACATGTGATGTAATGACTACACCATTCATCTGCTAGAACACAGCAAGTGCTTACAAGGGAAATGTCAATCTTAGGTACTGTGTATTAAATGTACTGTCAGGGTCATGAGCTAGAGAAGAACAATGTTTGTTGCATCTCAACTCCCTGCTTTCTAAACACCACTGCCAGGAACAGTTTCTGACCAGCTAGACAAACACTCTACCCAGGGGCACTAGCACACATAGTTCTTTCTGTCCCATGGCCTGGTGACCCACATGAATTAGTACTGGACAGTCCATCTCTCAGGAATGAGCACAAAAGTTAAAAGGAGAGTCTTTTCCAAGAGTCAGGATCATTGAGGTAAACAAAAAGAAATATAAACCAAAACACTCTCACAGGCTTTGATTTCCCCCAAATGGTACCTGGACTTCAGCACTAAGGGTCAAAAGCATGCTGTATTACCTCTCTCCAATCATCTTGAAGAGTGATGAGAAGTAAATAGCAATGCATATACACAGTATTCCTATATAAGCAGGCATTCAAACAATGGTAGCTGACATTCATTAATTCACAAGGGCTAAGAATCTCATATACTGGGTACAATACAGAACCTGACCATGACAAAGCTCAGATGAGTACAGAATGCATAGGCCAACAAAAAGGACTCATATAAAAGTTAATTTGTTAGGCTGGGATGCAGCTTTTCTAGCTACTAAGAATATATCCTTTCTACTATGCTATAAAATAGGCTCTTTCAATAATGAACATAAGCAAGTTTGAGGGTTTGCAAGGAAGCAGTACCTCACACAGTCTAGGTGACAGCCTTGAGAAATAAACTGGAGTGTACATTATTTTCTCTATGTAACATACAGGCACTATGGACAAAGTATGAAATCTCTCCAAGATGCTCATGTGTTGAATACTAATATCCCCATCTTTTTTGTGAGGTTCTGGAAACCTTAGGAGGTAGGACCTTGACGAAGGAGGTCACCAGTCACAGATCTGGGGGTTACCTTGTTCCTGGCCCTTTCCTATCAGCCAAGAAGTGAAGGGCCTTATCCGCATGCTACTGCTGTTGTGATTTCCAATCACAAGAACTGGGACTGAAATCCCAGAAACTGTCAACCATAGTCTTCCTCCCTGAGGTTGCTTCTGCCAGACGCTATTACCACAACAATGAGGGAAGTAACCACAATAGGCCACCAGGTATCCAAGGGATAAAATGATGTGTTCAAAGAAGCTGGATTTGATACTTAGTTTATGTACAAGACATAATCACTATGGCATTATTATATGCAAATAAAACGTGCTATCTTTGGAGTAATCCTATCCTTAAACAAGTGTGGCTGGTCCACTAGGTTTACATTTGCATTGCCTGCTCTCTCCCGCTGTAATCCATCAGTATCTTTTTCCCTACTGAGCCTAAGTCCAACCTCAGAAAGTTTCTGAATATATTGTTCTACAGAGCCCTACCATGACAGGCAGTATGAGCAGGCCAGATACAATGTTCTGACTTCCCTCACAAAATACTTGTTTCTGACATTTCCTTTGCTTTAGATTTACTATGTTAATGGTTCTCATGTTGTTTGTATACATTGTCTTTTTCTAAGAACTGAGTTCCCAACTTGTATTCACTTGAGACTATCAACTATATAGATTAATATGGAGCATGTGTTCTACATTCAAGTGTCCTGAACATACTAAGATAAATGTATGGTATAACAAGAAACTCTTATTTCTGGATGTAGTCTAGATCAGGAATCAGTAATTTTTTTCTGTAAAGAACCAGATAGTTCGTGTTATAAGCTTTGTGGCCAGTGGTTTGTGATGCAACATGGAATCTGAAATGACATTGTGAAAGCTGCCACAGACTATACATAAACAAGAAAGCATGTCTGGGTTCTAATCAACATAGTTATAAAGACGGAAAGCAGATTTTCACATCACTGAGTATTATTCCTGTTTTGATCCCTGCAACAAGTGGACCCCCCCCCCCCAATTATAAAAACTATTCCCAGTTTTCCGGCTGAATTTATACCACAGACAGCCCAGACCGGGTATTTTCAAAATGGGAATTTCTGATGGTCGGAAATGCAACTACTATACCAATGTGTGAGATCTTACTTGCTTTCAACCAGAACAAGGTATACCCAGCAAAGCAAAAGCAAGAAAAAGGGCCCAGCTGCTTTGTGGGCCACAAGCTGAGTTTGCAAAAATGAGAAACAATACCACCTGCCTCAGTAAAAATTCCTGATATTTGGGGAATAGTTAACTTTTCATGTCAAATGTTATTTATACTTAACATGTAATGGGCATATTTCTTAAAATAGATTAATTTTTTTTAATCCTCGGTTCTGATTTCCAATAGGATAAATACTAAGATATATTCTCTCTCTCTCTCTCTCTCTCTCTCACACACACACACACACACACACACACACACAAACAGGTGTGAACTGAAGCCCTGGGACCCCAAAATTGTACTTTCAGTGTGTTAAAGAGACGTGGGATCACCATGTCTGAGAAGCAGCTGCTTAGCTCTAGCAGGGGAACTGTGACTGCAGTAGAGTGTGCCTAGTCCTGCCCACCAGACCCAACCACCTTCGTCCCCCACCCTGATGTAACCCTACTTGACATGTCTTTGATTAAATTATGATTTGATAAATTAAATCCCCTGCAAACTACACCTCCCATAATGAAGATGGAGAAAATATGAATGTTTCTACTTTCAAACAACTTTTCCATACATCAGTTGTTTTATCTTTTAAGATGGAGTCTCGCCGGATAGCCTTGGCTGGCCTGGTACTCATGAGGTAGCCCAGGCTGGCCTCACACTTGTGACTCTGTCATCTCTACCTCCTCAGTGCAGGGATTACAGGACCACACCACTATGCCTGGATCTCACTTCAGCAAGGGTCTGTCTCTCGCTTCTATTTCCCAGTCTTTAAAAACTCCAGAACATATCTCAAAAACAGATCCATGAGCCCATTTAATGTCACAGCGAACCTCCAATCTGGACTCCCAGGCAGTGTGGGAGCCTGGTCCTAATCAAGACTCACAGCAGAATGGAATCAAAAAGCTAACTCTTTCAGATATGGTGCAAATTTAACTAGCAATGCTCAAAACACTAGCAAGGAATTTCGCATTTTGTTTCCTAAGCACCATCCATCCATCTTATACAGCACTTCAAAAGAATACTGATACTCTGTTTGCTCTGTATTCAAGATCTAGACCTTTAAAAGTAACATTTTAGGGGAAATTAAAGGGAAAGTTCTGTTAATCCCAGTGTTGCAATGCATGGGGAACTCTTATATAAGGAAGCGTTCCTTTCAATATAAATTCACTTTGTCATTAGATTTAACTATCCAAATGATGTGTATGGCTGCATCTGGGGAAATACATCTATCTTCTCTCTCTCTCCTCTCTTTTCCTCTCTCCCCATAGTAAAGAAAAAACAATCACAACTTCAGTACTTATTTTGTTGCATCTCATGCTGTTAGAGACCTATTAATCTAAAAGTCATTATAATTTCATTTATAGAACAATAACTTTGTGAGTAACAAGAAAGATACTTTTATATTCACTCCTCAGTTTGTATTATGAAATACTATTAAAGTAAGAGATTCTGATTCAATGTTATATCTGTCATAATCTGTAGATCCATGTACACTAAACTTAAAAATATTTGTCTGTTATGACAAACATGAAAACTCAAAGTCCCATCACCTCTCTCCTGGGGGTTATTCTCTATTTTGGGGAACAGTACAAATTACTTTAGAAAGATTTTGGTAGTGGCAATATTCAATGAAGAACCAAATAGAGGGAAAATGCTTACTGTTTAAATTTACAGAACAGCAATAATCTCATCAGAGTTGCAAAACACTCTAAATTGTGAAACTTGAGTTATTTGTAAAATAGACAAAACTGAAGCAGCTTCCTCAGTTATTTTTGAGATCTCAGCACCAATTTAAAGAAAACACTCATATTTAGAAGAAGGCCTACTTTAAAACAAATCGATACACTGAGGACCTATAAGGGCACAAAATGAATTCATGTCATATACAACATTCCTTCTCTGTCCGTGTACAAAGGAGTGTGAAAGAAGGCTAACTAAAGAGGAAAAAAGTTATTTGCTCTTCTCTAAAATTCTTTAAGAAATAAATGAGGCTTAATCTTAAAACAAAAATGAAAAAAACAAACAAATTCTACACAAAACCCTATACCACAAAATAGATGCCAAGACCAAAACAGATGCAATTCACTCGACTTTGTTTTGAGGATCACGTGGAAAACCAGGAAAGCATGGAACACTGGTTCTCCACTGTACGGAGAAGACATTTTACTTATGGTACTCTGTGTGTGTGTGTGCGCGTGCGCGAGCGCATGTGCATGCGTGCGGTGAATTCTTTTCCTCACTTCCATTTTCAAGTCAAAGTTATATCTGTTAAAACCCTATGATAGTCGTCTAAAGTAGAAGCCAACTGGGAAACGGCACGGAATTAACCGCGCCCGGGTTCGGTGTCCGAGGGATTGACAGTACTGAGGAGAACCCTCTGAGGAGGCTTCACCAGTGCTGCTCCGCGGCAGCAAATAGGAACAAACACGTTAGAGCCCGGCACAGCAGCTCAATGTATCTGGGAAGAATTACCAGGTTATCCGAATAAAATGGTCCCCCGTTTTGTTTTCCCAATCCCCTCCCCAGCAGTGAGACAATTCGGGGGAACTGTGGGCGTTCAGAAATGGAGAGAGAGGCGACTGCAACCAAAATCAGACAAACACAAAACTGCAACAAGACAAGGCACTGGGTGGGGAAGAGGATGGGCAAGCAGGGCAGCGAGCTACAGAGCCGGCGTCCGGGGCGGCTCACAGGCCAGCCCCGCACTTCAAGGCGCCAAAGCCAAGCAGCCACTTACATTGCTTCTTCAGCTCCCTCAGCTGCTGCTTGTATTGCACAAACTTCTCGCTGTCTTTAAAGTCAGCGTCAGAGTTCTTATCCTGTAAAGCCACAAACTTCTTCTCCACCAGGAGCTTCAAGTCTGGCACCTTTTCTGGGCGTTCTTCTTTTACCTGAGGGAGACAACAAATCCATGTCAGTTAGAGACCAGAGTTAGCAGCAAGGATTACAGATCTCATTTAGTTCAAAAGTTGGTATGAGAGACAAAAGGATTCTCCCAAGAGACAAGACTACTCAGAGAACTACTCAGAAAAGGTGCTGGGACCCATTCCCCCACCTGCCGGCTACACTTTCCCTGACTTCCGTCCAGCCCCGGGCATCACTGCTGGTCCTTCACATCTGTCTGCTCGGCTAGCCCTGTGTGCATCAGCGGTCACTCTACTGTCTGTCTCAGTGCTCTTCGAGGCCCTGACCAGCTGCCCAGTGACTCCGCACACTAACCACCACCTTGACCTTCCACAGCTTCCTGGCCTAACAAGGAGCAAGGGTCCCGCTTGTTGTGTTCAAAGCCAAACTCTCAGGATGTGTTCTTCTCCCTAAATATTATAAAACTTTCAGCCATGCAGAACTATCACACGTACCCGACTGTGAACATTATATTCTTACTCACTGCCCCAATTACATTTGCCTGTGTGCACATCACATCATCACATCTCTACCCATCTATCTCGTTCTTCGTAATTAACTAGATCTTCATCTCCTTTAGAACAAACCCTCAGCAGCAGCCGCCGCACCACTTTATCGGAGCCCCCAGTCCTTCTTTCTTTCCCAGTGCTGCCCATACCACCATGGTTTGTTTGTTTTCACGGAATGGCTGACAGGGCCTTGGCTGTCCCACATCAGCAGTAGAGACAGAAACCTGTCTTCCAGGGTTTGGCTTGGGAAAGCCACCTCCTTTTCTATGAAGTAATATGAATGCTGGTGTCTTGGGTGTTTTCACTACTCACACCCCACTACCCTTCATCCCTCAACAATTTCTGACTGCACGGCCTTGCAAGGCCAAGCACTCCCATCCAAACGGCAAGTTCTGCAGTGAGGAAAAATAATAATCAACTTAGCCTTTAGTACCCAGGCCCCTGGGGACAATTATAGGACAAAAGACAGGGAGGGTGGCTGCCACTGCAACTATCTGGGTCTTGAGTAGACTTGTAGGCTCACTGATGGCAAACTCAAGGAGCTGTTGCCAGGAGCGAGCTAGCCCTTCATCTTCTCGGAACCCATCAGAGATGACGTAACCTCGTATTACAGACCAGGAAATGAGAATAAGACATAGCAGGTCTTGTACTGCGGCATTAGCTCTGGTTTTGTGTTGTGTGGGGACTGTACCTGTTGCAAGATAAGCACATGCTCTATCACTAGCTATACCCAGCCTCTGCTAGAAAATCTTAATTGCCTCTGAGATTTGTCTTGTGGCCTATCGGTGACACCCAGAGAATCGGTTACTTTCTAATTCCTTTTTCAGATTTTTACTTATTATTTTAAATTATGTGTATGTGCACGTGTCTCTGTGTGGGTAGGGGCATGTGAGTGCAAGTGCCTACAAAGAGGCTAGAAGTTTCGGACAGCCCACCCTGCTGCACCTAACTGTGAGCCACCTAACATGGGTGCTGGGAATCAAACTCAGGTCATCTGGAAGAGCGGCCACCTCTATTTCTATCCTGCCTGGTGGAGAAGAGCCTGTGTCTCCTTCCTGGCTCTTGGGTTCTAGCTACTTCCTCAGCACATCTCTACTCCTCCTCTTCGCTCACCATTGTGTTGACCACCATTGAACATGTCCCTCTCGTCTTTTACTCCTAATAAAACAGAGACTCTGTGACAGACATCTGGCTTATCGCTACACTGCCAGTCCCTGGTAGGCACATAGCAGGAGGTAGTACTCTAAGTATTTCAAACTGACCATAATAGGGCTTAATCTAGTAACAGCCAAAATTATCAACTTGTTATTAGTATTACTGGAATATATCATTTCTGGGCTAGAAGACAATTTACAGAGCATCTAAAGTTGGTCTTTTTTAATCAGTTAAAAAAGTTAAGAAATACGTTAGGCATCATTTCATTGGTATTTCCCCCTCTAGTCACGTTTGATTCTATCCTAGGTCTCTGGGCCATCTGCCCTCTGGTCCCGGCCCTCCAGGCGGTGTCAGGGTGGACTCACTTTCACAGTAGGGGTCTGCAGCTGGACCAGTCACTGGTTGGCCACTCCCACAATCTCTGGACTGACCTAGGCCCTCTACATACATGCGAGTGTTGTGTAGCTTGGTCTACTTGTGGGACTCCTAACAGTGGAGCAGGAGCTGTCCCTAATGCGTGGGTTGGCTTTATGGAAACCTATTCCTCATACTGGGGTGCCTTGCCCAGCCTTAATACAGGCTCTTTCTAGGTTTACAAAAGAAAGCAGGCTCCCATTAGTCTAAGGCGTTGGTGGCGGTGCTGCAGGGAGCCAATCAGATGAGCTCTCTTAAGGTGTCTGACCAAACTGAAACTAGGACATAAACTGGGATGATGAGCAAATATCTAGCATGAGCAGATGATACAGAACACTTGTCCAGCCTTGGCGGGAGCGTCTGTGCCCAGTCTTAACGTCAGCTTCTTGCTATGCCGTGTTGGGGTGACGTCCCTGGGAGGCCTGCTCTTTTGTGAAGGGGAACAGAGGAGCAGTGCATCTGGGGAGAGGGGAGGTGGGCTGGGCTGGGGAGAGTGAGGGCGAGGAAACTGCATTGGGATGTGTCGTATGAGAGAAGAATAAACAAAAAGACAAAAAAACATAATGAATTCATTCAGCAAATGTAACTCCTGTAATTGCTATGATTGGATGACAAGAGCTACCGCAGCACTAAACAGAGGACGGGGTGGGAGCTGGGCTGTGTGGAAAGCGGTGATAGAAGACAGGAGTCACCATTTGAAGTCAACAGGACTGCAATATGAAACATGATTAGAAACACCAGAATAAACTCAATTTACTGATGTAAACGTGTTTTTGTCGTGGCCAGAACTTCCAGGAAGTTGTAAAGCACAATATTTTACCATAGCAAACATCTTTTACGGAAGTTCACTGTAGTATCTGGGGCACATTTCCAGTGCAAACAGGATGTCTACCCAAGGAATCAAAACGATAACAGCTTATCATGTGTCAATCACTGCATCAATCGGGTACCATGTTTGTTGGTGTTTCCCCCCCCCCCTTTCTTATGTTTCTTGTTTTACCTGTATTTTAAAGAGAAATAAGGGAAAACAGCTTTTCTTTTCTTTATTTTTTCTATTTTTCCTTTTTTATTTTTTTAGTAAATGATCACGTGTGTTACTCTAGGGTAAGAAGATAAAGATGGTCTTTGTTCTTTAGGACAAAGCTGGAATACTTGAAAGGGACCTGACATGAGAGGTTATCCCATCCACTGACTTACCAAAGAAAACATGTCCAGACAGAATGTGTAAGCCCCACTGGGAGTGTCAATTCAACAAGCGGCTAAGATAAAGCACCAAGATTTACTAGGTGGTTTAAGCAACAAGAATTCACTTTTACAGTTCTGAAGTCCAGAAATACAAGATCAGGGGGTCAAAGGCGTTCGTTTCTGTTCTGGGCTTGTAGTCCATCTTTGTCCATGCCATTATGTGGACTTGTCTCCACATATGGCCATCTTCTGTGGTGCTATCATTTGGTCCTCCCACTACATGAGGGGGTCACCTCCCATGCCCACATTTTCTTCCTGCTGTAGAAGGCTATTTTTTCTGTGTTACAACATGGTCTCTCAATTATAAGGCTGTCTTTTCCCACACCAACACATGGCCCTCTCACTGGATATGCCCATGTCTTCATTTCTTCTTCTGTTATTAGTCATGTTGGATTAAGGGCTACTTAATGATCTCAGAGAGCCAGAAGAGGGTGCTGGATCTGCCTTGGAGGTCCAATAACATGGTTTTTAAACTGCCTGCTGTGGGTGCTGGGAATAGAACTCGGGTCCTCTGAAAGGGCAGCAAGTACTCTTAACTGCGGACCATGTCTTCAGCCTCATGATCGGATTCTATAATATGACATATCAATTGGCCCTTCCACAGTAACAAATACTCAGGTTAAAGTTAAACTGTAACTGAAATCAGACAAAATTAAATATTTGGTGGTAGAATAATGTGTTTAGTGAAGGACAGGGTTTCTTAGTGTTAACAGCCCTGGCTGTCCTGAAACTCATTCTGTAGACCAGGCTGGCCTCAGAATCATAGAGATCCACCTGCCTCTTCCCACCACCACCTGGCAGGATGCCTTTTAAAACCCTGAGGTATGGACCCGAGCTGTAAGTAGACTAGACTGTGTAAGGTCCTAAGTGCAAATCCACAACACTACACAAAAGCAAAGTCATGTTTCTTCTTCACTGGGTAGCACACATGTGAAACCCCAGCCCTTAGGAGACTAAGGCAGAAGGAGAACCCTTGAGTTTGAAGATGGCTTTAGGGTCCACAGTAAGCCGAAGGCCAGCTTGGGTGAAAGGAAGACTGATTTAAAAACAATGAATGAATGAATGAATGAATGAATGAATGAATGAATGACTATTTTGTATAATGAACTGTTCCACCCTTTCAGGAGTAAGCAGATAATATTCATTTTATTGGTATTTGTGAAACCTGTCAAATATTCAAAGCACAAGCACACACATTTTCATCTACTCATCCATATCCATCTATTCTAAAACATTACATAAGATATATAAATTACAATAAAAAAAAATATATATATATATAAGGCAGTAGAACAATCTATTTATTTACGTTTCCTTTCTCTTACTTTTTTTCATTTGGGATACCAGGTGAACACAGGGTCTCACACATGCTGGACAAACACACCACAACGGAGCTGTAAGCCTTCTTCCTTGTTTTTATTTTAAAGCAGACCCTCACTAAATGGTCCAGGCAGACCTTGAACTTGGAATCCTCTTGCTTCCGCTTCCCCAGCAGCAGAGGTTACATGCCTGCATCATAACATCTCCCTCCACCCCCCACTTTCTGAAACAAGGTCTTGATAAATAGTTATGGCTGGCTTGGCAAAGATTACTTCCTTTTTGTATCTCTCCTTGGCCTTCTTACAATCCATTCATCTCCAGCACTGGTTGAGCACCTGTGGGCC